GTGTTCACGCTGGCCATTGAAAAACTATGATGCCAGCTTTTTAGAATTTTTCAAAGTTTGGAAAACTACAATGATGGAATAGCAAAGTGTAAACTAGTGTGGTTAACATGTCCCCAAGAAAGTGCAGAAGTAGCTGACTTGATTGCCACAGGGTCACATCTTTTAATACTAGTGAAAAACTGAGAGATCGATGTTAGAATATCCTTAAGTATAAAGATTTTTTTACAGGTCTATTTTGCAGATTACAATGTGAAATTTTAATAAGATTACAGACATTTTAAGTATTTTGCCTTTAGATGAATAACTAAAAGTATCAGTATTTAAGATAAGACTATTACTGGTAGATTAAGCATTTTTGTTTATACAAATAAACTTTTTCTTTCTTACATTTCTAGGGGGTAATCATTCCACTCCTTTGGGCTTCAATTTATTCATTTGTTAAAATGAGGCAATTAGACTAGATATTTGCTAAGATTTCTTCTGGACTTAAAAATATTATTCCAATACGTGGAATAATATGTTAAAAATGCAATGTTAACTGTGAAACAGTGTTTAATTCTGAAGTGTTTTAATCTAATTATATCAGTTTGAGCATAAGTATACACAGATGCCTAGTAAATAATTTGTAGATATTGTAAAATGAGTTTTTCCAAATTTATTTATTTGTAAGCTGCCAATCTAAAATAATATTGTTTTGGGAAGAGAGGACATGGAGTCACAAATAATATCTTTATGCGTCATGTTCCAAAGAAAGATAAATATCTGTTTGACCTACCTACCTAAAACCCAAGTCAGAGTGACACTTTCTTTAGTGGCCATCTTTTGATTAATCTTATCAACCAGAAAGGTAAAAGTGAATGCTTTTTGAAAAAAGACACCTTGGCACTCTTGTAGCAACCGTTGAAGGAAAGGATTAAATTGTGGGAATTTAACTTCTTCACGAATCCTGGAAATCAAGCTTGTTTTTGTGAAGAACTTGATCAGAAACAAAAGTTTTACTGAACCTTGGGCACTCTGTGCAAGCACATGGACACAATTTATTCTCTAACAGGAGCCATGTTCTGGTTCAGATATAAAAGTTTCACAGAAAAACTCTGCGGGGTATGTGTAAATGGAAACATTTAAAAATTGTATTATAGTTGCGACAGACTATAAAGATATAGATTTAGTCATTGTTTATCCTTTGGTCATTCTTGGAAGATTTGAAAAACTAAAAATTTTAATGAAAAAGTTCTGGAAATCTGGAGTGAGGCTTGCTATCCAACTTGTCTTTATATCCAAGAAGAAAATTATACATTTTAAGTAAAAGTAAGTTCAGGTCAATCTGGTGTTTTAGAAGCAGCGCTGTCTGCAGCCGATGGTTGTGGCTTTGCCTCTACAGCATATCTCCCAGGTCTGCCTTGGATTTCAGCCACAGCTGTCATAGAGGTCCACTCCATCTCAGACTCACCTTTTGGTGAGAGCAACCTGTCTTAACTGAGTGCCCCATTTCTCTGCTTTGTGACAAACCATCCTTTCCAGGGTCATGGGAGCCCCCTTAGGCCTATATTACAAGTATAATTGCAGAAATGTAGAAGAGTAATGCCGTCCACCAGTGGGTCCAGGGCTAGTGGGTGGGTGATCCAGCCTCTCGTCTGTCTGGGGGACAGTTCTGGGAAGCCCTTGCTCATTTCTGAGGTGGTGCTGGTGGTGAAATCAAGTCTCAAGCACACACAATGGCACTTTTTTTTTTATAAGATTTTTATTGGGGAATTGGGGGATGGGAACAGCGCTGGGGAATTGGGGGAAGGGGAACAGACAAGTTGCTGTCCTTTTGTTCTTCAGTCTAGTTGTGGAGGACGTTGCTTCACTGGCCCAAGTTGGCACCATCATTGCGCTCTTCCCAGGCGAGGCAGATCAGTCGCTGGCTTCTGGATGGCCGCTCACTGCGGCTGCTGGCCGCTCACGCTAGCTGCCAGCCACACACGGTGTAGCCCATGGCAACCCACTGCAGCAGGGGCTGCAGCCTACGCCGTCGCCGGCAGGCGACTCACGGCAGCCCAGCTCCAGGTTGAGCTGTTGTTCAGCATCTTAGCTGTAGAGGGCAGTGTCACTGGCCCTCATATGTGGGATCCGAACCGGGGCCCTCTGGCGTCCCAAGCCAGCTCTTAACCGATGCACCACTCGGCCGGCCCCACAATGGCACTCTTGATCACATACCCTTGTACTATATTTCCTTCCCTATCTCATTCTTCCTGCTTTCACTCCTGCTTCCTGGGATTAATTCACAAATAAACTACTTGCTCCCAAATGGTTGTCTCAAGGTCTGTTGTAGGAAGAATATAACAAAGGACTTTGGTATGAGAATGTCCCTGGAAAGCAGATCCTTAGGTTTCTGGAACTGGGTCACTTACCTTATTGCTAGGATTAGCAGGACAGTGGTAATCCCTGGTGTGTGTCACAAGCCCTAAGAATTCCACCTGTGTTCAAGTGGGATGGGAACAGTGGGTTCTCCAGTAGCTAAGTCATTAGAATGGTTTGGGGGCAGATTGCGGAATTGGCTAGCATTTGTTAATTGCCTTGGAAGCTGTGAAAAAATGAAGCGGCACACTCAGATCAGCCAACTATCATCTTAGGGCACTCCGAAAGCCAAAAGGCTACCTTGGCAGCGTTTAAAGAGACCATTATCTCCTGAGTCATAGGACAGTTGTGCAAATCAGGACCAGAGTCTGTGAGGGTTGGCAGAGCTGCAAAGGAGATAAAACAGGCAGCCGCCAAATACCTCCTTTGCTGAACTCAGGGTCCTGATGTCACAGGAGAGGGGCCAAGGCTTGGGATGAGGATGTTGGAAGGGGTGTGCTTGAGAAGCTGGGATCCCTGGTTTCCTCTGCATCCCCCATGTCAGCCAAAGCAGCTCTTTGTCCCTCACTAGAGGGAGGCAGCCTCCCCTTACCTGGAGACCATTCAGTGTTCACCTGAAGTGGATGTCTTGTAAGATGACTCTTAACCACTTCAAGATCTAACTGGTCTTCCGCATTGCTTTGAGAAGGATAAATAAAGTCAAGTTTCAGCTGAGAGAGAAAATGGAGTCCTTGATCTGGGAAGAAATAGCTTACTTACTGAAAGAAGTTTAGAACTGGCTAACAAGTACTGGCAGGACTCTGAACATGTGTGGGAATAAGCCTTGGGTGTGCTGGACCAGAGGGGCAGAACGTAAGGCTGGTGAGGGGAGTTCATTGACATGGGAGCCCTCTCTTAGGTCAAAACCCAAGGTGGGTGTGATGGCAAGGACATGTGGAGCTGGTGTTCATCGGCTGGAGGGATGGCTCCTTGAAACTCGTCCTGATGATGGCCTATACTAAATGACAGAGAGAGGCAGGAATTGCCTTGTCGAAGTATTGAAGGTCAGTGGCTCAGAAAGGCAGGAATGTTAGAAAGGATTTCCTATGTGGAGAGAACCAACTTCCTGTTTTCCAAGGAAGCGTCCAGAGAACACCCTCTTTAGCAAGGCAATAAAGATTACACCAATGAGGGTGGCAACGACATCTTTCAAAAAATCAGTGGTAGCTGCATGTAAGCCAGGATTCACAGTAGGATGCGATGTTCTTTTACTGTGGGCTCTCTTGTATTAATTGAGATGACGGGATTCCACAATAACAGGTTGTGGTCTACAACCATCAGTGGCAAAGTAGCAGTGAGGTTCCTTGGTGTGCAGGGATCTGTGGTGGTGACTGCTACACCATGATGTACCTCGTGCTCCAGGGAGAGTGTGTCTTTACTTGTAAAACTCCCAAAAGCAAGAGCTGGTGAGCAGAAGGTTGATGTTAGGTGCTGGAATGGAGAGTGTTATCCAATAGCTATTATCTCATGTCTGTTGATGGGAAAGGAGGTCAAAGCCCTTTGAAGAATGCCACCTATGCCAACACAAGTATATACAGTAAATATTCACCCAATCTTTCTCTAAAGAGCCATAAGCTGCTTATCAAAGTAACTGCACACTGGAGAAAGGGGAATACTCAGTCCCTTCAAAGGTTGTTGGGTAGAGGATTAAGCTGACTTGGTATCAAGTGATCTAAAATGTTTAGAAATGTTACATGGTTGCTGACAATGTACTATGTACTTAGGCCTATGAGGGTTGCAATTGTACTGACCACGTACACACTTTTTTTCTTCTCATTAGTCCCTAAACAATACAGTATAACAACTATTTGCATAGCATTTACATTGTATTAGGTATTATAAGTAATCTAGAGATGATTTAAAGTATATAGGAGGGTGTGTGTAGGCTATTGGCAAATACTGTGCCTTTTTATATAAGGGACTTGAGCATTTGTGCATTTTGATGTCTGTGGGGTTCCTGGAACCAATCTCCTGTGGATACCAAGGGTAGACCGTATTTTAGAGATTTTCTAGACTGTGTGCAAATAATTATTCATGAAAAATTATTTGAAAGGTGAGGTGAGATCATTTTAAACCTGTGCAAATTAAATATATTTTTTCTGTTTAGGCAATAAAGGAGTTGATGAAAATGATGCTTGCTCAGTCTGAACTACATTGAAACTACCTTGAATTCAATTTCTATCTGATAATATAAGAATATCTAACTTTGATAGTATATGAACTAATGGCCAAGTGAAAAGCTCTATACGAATATGCTAATAAATACTACCAATAAGTTCTATGTCCATATTGTATATGATATATAAGCTATAAGTTGTGACAGAAAATTTCAATCCAGTATTACTCTTGGCCAAATGTTAATTTTTTTAACATTTATGATACAAATGCACGTAATATTTTTCATGCTAAAATAGTCACAAAATATTCACTTAGCAAAATTCACTTTTTTTTTTGCATTGAGTCTGTTTTTGATAACCTCACATTGACTTTATATTAAATGCTCACTGCATCCCTGCAATATTCCATCTTAGTATTTATAGCACTAATTGCACTTTCTTAGGCTATTTTGTCTTTCAGTTCAGGTCCTTTATTTTGGTAACGAGACATATTACCAGGTTATAAATGCTTTATTTTATTTATTTATTTATTTATTTATTTACTTATTTACTTATAACACCGAAGAAGCTTGGTGGTGGCTATTTGGCTATTTGATGTTTTTATGACTCAGGGTTCAAGTTCAGGCTCTCTTTCTGATAGCACGTAAATGTACACCTACACATGTATATATAATTGCTATCAAAATTAAGCTTAGTCACTAAAAGAAGATTCACTATCTGAACTTTCTTCTGTATTTTTTTCACCTTCGCCATCAGGCACTGGCGCATCTGGCCTCCTGAAAGAGAATGAAAAAAAAATTTTTTTAAGTTTTTCCAGTTGCAAAAAGCACTTACGAACTGTAAATTAGGCTCATCCTAGAATATCGCTGCTAATAAATCTGCCCAGTCTGCGTCCTTAACTGAGAGAGGCCCCACTCTCCACCACGAAGTGCCTCTTTCTGGCGTCTCCAGCACCGGGGGGATTAAGTGCTATTCCTTTCCAGGCTGTGGCCAGTTTTCTCTTGCCAGTCCTTTCAGAGTGTGCGACGTCAGCACTTTCTGCTTCTCATTACCATGGAGATCCAACTATAGACAGAGATGGGATCTGGAGAGGCTGGCATGACCAGTGCTGAGGCCATGCAGCCTCCAAGGGTGCATGAGGTACAGAGAAGGGGGAGCTAGCAATGGAAAGGAAAGGCAAATCGTCACATTCAGGAAAGCTGCAGGGAGAAATTTTAAAATGGAAAGGGAGTTCAAGAATGGCTTAAGAAGCACAGGCAATATGGAAATTTTCGAGAGAAGAGCATCTGGTCAAACAAGGTTCTTCATGTTTGCTGAGTGTTTCCACTTATATGTTTTATCTTTGGAGAATAAATATAAAAAGTATGAGTTGGTAAAAATAGTGTTTTGAAGACTCCCTAGGCAAATCAAGGAGATATGAGAATGGTGAAGCTCCAACTTTGCATGGATGTGCTATCATAAACCCAAATGAAAATTTAATGGTGTCATTAAAATAGTCACCTAGCTAGCCTCCATCGTGCTCGGCAGTAAATCCCCGAGTCAGCATGGTAGCACTATCACTCAGCCTCTATTCTCCTACCAAGAAAGTAAATTAAGTAAGTAAAGTATACTTTTGGGGAAACTAACAGGGAAAGGAAGAATAATACAGCTGCTGTGTCCTAATAATTAAAAACTACCAGAGTTATTTCTCCCTCAGGCTCCTTGATTCTTATTAAAGACTTAGAACACCAACAAATAAAACTCTTCTTTGCCAGAGAAATAACTGCTATTACTAAAATAAGAAAATGTATAGTCTACTTACTTTTAGTGATGAAAAATTATGGCTGAGCTTTGGCTTGTATTTTTTAATATTGTATCTGGCATGCTACAAAACAGAAAAAAATGCTGGCACTGCTCCCTAGTTGTCACACATCAACCCATTTACTCTGCTGTCCAGTTTTAGATTGTGCTTATGAGGAAGTCACATGCACTCAATACAGTAAAGCTTGAAACCTGGCTTCAGCATTTCCAGGTTTGGACTGATGCTCCCTCTGCCTAAAATACTAACACAGGACCACAGTCTTCATCACTGTCCCTAGAAGCAAGAACTCTAGCAGTGGGCATGAATACTGGGCACGTTTTCCCCAGTACATTTTTCTTTGTTATATAGTTGATTTCTTATTGTCTTCACTTTGAGAAAAAGGAAAAAATTACCAAAGGGAATTATTTGAATACTACAAAATTATGTTAGTGTATCTATGGAAGCACAAACAAATAAAACAATGTACACAACTCCCCTAAAATACATGCTATTTAACAAAAGGGTAAAAGCAGCCTACCGAGAAGGAAGTGAGATTATAAAATTAATTTATATGTGTAAGCACTTTCTTGATATATGTGATGCTGCCTATAGCATAGTGGTTAAGAACACAAACTCTGGAGCCAGACTGCTTGGGTTCAAATCCCAGCCTTGCTACTTACTTGTTGGGTAGCTTTGGGGAAGCTATTAACAACTATGTACCCAAGTAACTGGATTCTTGTGATGATTAAAATAAAGTATGCCATTTGGTAGCTAGAGCGTAAGGTATATTGGAGTGCAACAGTAGATGAGATCAGACCACTTGGCAGGAGCCAATAGGTGGAGGGTGGGGAGAACTTATATGAAATGTAAGTTTTCGCTGAAATTGCATTACTAAGTTTGGGATTCTTAAGTAGTCATTTATTTTACATTCACATTGTTGTGCAATCATCACCACCATCTCCAGAATTCTTTTCACTTTGCAAAACTGAAACTCTATACCCATGAAACAATAACTCCCCAGGCTTCTTTCCCTACCGCCTTTGGCAGCCACCATTCTGCTTTCTGTCTCTATGAATCTGACTCTTCTAAGTGGAATCATGTAAGATTTGTCATTTTGTGCCTTGCTTATTTCATTTATCATAGTAAAGGCCTTCAAGGTTCATCCATATTGTAGCATATATCAGAATGTCCCTTCCTTTTAAGGCTGAATATTCCGTTGTGTGCATCGAGTGCATCTTGTTGACCCACTCATGGATGGACATTTGGGTTGTTTCCACCTTTGGGCTGTTGTGAATGCTGCTGCTATGAACATGGGTGTACAAATATATGTTTGAGTTCTTAATTTCACTTCTTTTGGATATATGCCCAGAAGTGCAATTGCTGGAAAATATGGTAATTCTATGATTAATTTTTTTCATGAACTGCTATACTGTTTTCCGTAGTGGCTACATCATTTATATTCCCACAAACAGTACACAGGTTTCCAATTTCTTCACATCCTCGCCAATACTTGTTATTGTTTGTCTTAACTTGTTTTTTAAAATTGAGACTTAATTGGCATATAACATTATATTAGTTTCGGGTATATAACAGAATATTTCGATATTTGTATATATTGTGAAATGATCACCACAATAAGTCTGGTTAACATCCACCACCATATATAGCTAAAAAAATTTTTTTCTTGTTATGAAAACTTTTAAGATCTACTCTCTTAGCCACTTCCAAACATAAAATATTGTTAACTATAGTCACCATGCTGTACACTATATCGCTCTGATTTATTTATTTTATAGCTAGAGGTTTAGCCTTTGACAGACCACGACTGCTTTTTAACACCAACTTTTTTTTTTTTTTGAATTTTTAGAAGATTTTATTTGAGCCAAACTGAGGACATATGCCAGGGAGCAAGATCTCAAATGCTCTGGAGAATAACAGTTTTGCAGCTTCTTTTATGCATTTGGAATTAAGGAGGGAATGTAAGGAACATTACATGGAGGTGAGAAAAATAGATGCGGGGATTGGATTACAGGATAGTTTACAAGCTTATGTGCTCTCCTGAGGGTGGTTATTTCAAAGATTAACCTAGGTGCACAGAAACAATGGACAGGGCTTGCTTAAGGCAAAGATAAACCCGTTATTAAAGAAGTTATATGCCTGGGACATGACTATCCACCATGACCTGCCCAGTTAGGAATTTATGATCAGATCACTCAGTGAGGATGCAATCTATAGAAGAACCCTTTTTTTATTCCCAGTTCCCCCTTTTGGTCATAAACCAATCCAAAGGATACATTGATGAGCAAACTTTTGGTTGGATAGTGTAACACTACCTTTTTTTTTTTTAAATTTTTATAAGAGCTTATTTGAGCCAAACTGACAACATATACCAGGGAGCAAAATCTCAAATGCTCCAGTAACACTGTCTTTTTTTATTTTTATTATCTCCCTCACTCTTGTGATCAAGGTCTCCACCAGTGGATCAATCACAATTTTTTGACATTGTTTTCTCCTGTCCTATACTTTCTAGCCAGTCTGCCAGCCAGTAGTTAAGGACTGGCAATTACATTGAATGGGAACCCAGCTTAACAAGAATGAACAAAATGGAACGAGTGAAAACAACTTACTTTTGGAATTGTCCAGTTGGGGAATTGAGGCCTCTTCTATCCTCAATCAGCCCCAACCCAACCTTTAATCCATTAATGCTGTTGTGTACCAAGAGGTAGGCAAAGATCACTGGCAGAAAGGGAGTTCCCTTGGCGGGCAGGGAAATCTGTCGGACATGCCGTGAATATAATTAAGAGAAAGTCTTGCTTTCCAGTATCCTTTTGGTGAACACTAATAAATCCCCTTTGTCTCAGTGATAAGTAGGCTGCGGTGGTTACTTTTGTTCCTGGCAACCATAAGACAGGTCTTTCCACAGTCTGGGAGAAGGGTATAAATCTTTTGAATAGATATCTCTAGGACAAATGCCAACTGCGCTGGTTCTATTCGAAGCCTGCAGAGTAACTTAAATTCAATTACATGCTTTCTTTAGTCAAATCAATATGCTGTAAACTGTACCCTTTTACTAATATGGAGTATGACCAGCTGAATTTCATTCGGAAGTCTATTCTTTACTGCAACGTTTAAAATACAGATTTTTCAGTATAACAGAATATAATTCAGAAAGGTAACTACTCTGTGTATGGTAACCATCTCTTTGTTAAAAACAGTGTGTCCTGGCATAGAATGAACTCCTGGTCATTTGCAGAACGTGAAAGCATTCACAAGACTCTACAGGAGCAAAAAGATTTATTGCAAGTCAGGCAGGGAGAGAGAGTTCAGTTTGGAACTGGCAAAAGGAGCTTTGTCAGGGCAGTCTGATAGAGAGCTGCCGAGACAGAGGGGTACGAGGAACACTGGCAGAAGAAGTTTGCCAGGGCAGAGTCTGATGGAGACAGCTGCGCCAGGTTTCTGTTTAGCCCGAGTTTTACATTTTTCTAAGTAGGATGTTGGGTGCTTGTCAGCTTGCAGGGGGGTGCTGTTACAATTGTCTTCTCCTGGGAACCGCTCTGTTCCCGTCTATGATGGGTGTTTGTTAGCATGCAGGAGGTTGCTGTTGCGATTGGGATCTGTTCTGTTCCCACCTATGATGGATGTAAGGTGCTTGTGCCTGCAGGTACAGTGCTGGCCAGGGGAGACAGAGCCAAGTGGTTCATGTTTAAGCTCCTTTTTACCAGCTCACAAGTCCGTTCCTGTTAACTCTTTACTGTCTCGTCACAATGGTATACAGCTAACTACAGGATTATAAACAAGTTGTGATCTAAAAGCTTGGTAAATTGTTTAGAACTTTCTACATCTTCCTCCACTACATTTATCAATCACAACTAACACTTCCTGCTTCTCTAGAGCTGTGCTAAGTGCTTACATCTTTGTCTTACTTAGTCTGAACACCTCTATGAATTCTTCCATTTCCCATTATACTGATGAGGAAACTGGTGCACAGAGAGATTAGGTAATTAGTCCAGGGTCAGATAGCTAGAAAGTGGCAGGGCAGAACCCGAAACCCAGCAAGCTGACCATTACTAAAGTCTGCCTTAGCCTGAGCCTTCACCATCACAAATTTCATCTCTAGCTGATGGGCGGGCCCAGGGGCTAATCTCTGTATTCTAGAGTAGTAAAAATATTAACTACTGCATAATAATAGTAACTAACCTTAATTCTGGGGCATAAATGTAAACACAGAACAAGATATGAGAGAAACGTGTTTTTTTTCGTTTTTTTTCCCCTGGTAAAAAATCCAGGCATTGATTGGAAGACTTTATAAGGCACGGTTTACTTGTGCCTTATTTACCTATTTCTGAATACAAAACTAAAACAAATTTACCTTAAAAATTTCCATTTTCATTCCCATTAAACTCTTCTGCATATGGTGGTGACAAAGGTACTCTTTCACGTATCTTTTCTTTCAGGGGCATTAGAAACTAATTTTTGCAAGCTAAACAGGACTAATTCTTGGTTCTATAAGAACTATTATTTTCAAAAACTTGGAGTTTTAAAAATAATTAATCACTTAGAAGTAGCAAACAAATACAATTTATTTGGTAATTATTAGGCATTTTCTAAAGTTTTACAGACTTTCTAGAATTCAATGAAAGTCATTCTTTTAGGAAAAGAGCTAGGTTCTCTTCTCCCTTATCATGTAAACTATTTTAGTTTAAAATTATGTACATTTAGCTTCTGAAATTTTATATACAATCAAATAACAATGTATTTTCTGATCAGTATTTATTTTACATCAACCTCAGCTTTGCTCTTTGCTCAGTTCAGACAAATCTAGACTATTTCTTTTAACAGTTATATGAGTCTGTTTTACTATCTAAGGCTAATAAAAAAAAGTGTATGTTTATACTTTAAAAGAAAAAAGAAAACAGAACAATCTTTACTGAAAGTTCTTGGCTGAGGCTTACTATGTACCTAAGACTCTAAATGAAAGTACACTCTTCACTTGGGTGGCACATTTTCTTCTCCTTCATCAGCTCAGATTTTTCTCCCAAAGTGAGTCTCCTTAACTTTTCTGTAAACATGATTACCAAAGTGCCAGAATTCCTCATTAACTAGGCAGTTGACTCCATTTATCATATCTGGCTAAATGCAGTTGGAGCTGGTTTGCTAGCAGTAGTGGTGATAGGTTCTCGTGAGTCACCCCCACTCCAACCAGTGCCCCTTGTGACCAATGGCCTGCACGTATGAGGTAATGGGGCAGAATTCCGGCTCCAGGCTGTGGTTGAGAAGCAGCTTTTCTGTAAGACGATGTTTGAGCTGTTACTGGAATTCTACCCTAAAACTTGGCACCATCTTGCAACTGAATGTTTCTCAACATTTACAGGCAATGACATACCCTCAAACTTGCTAAGTGGGACACGTCAAGGAATTATTAGGGGTACCGAGGGTTCTCCCCTTGGTAGCCATCCATGGACTTCTTAGGGTGGTGATACCTAAATGGAGCCTTGAATTATGAAACCAGCCAGGGCAATAAGTTGGGGCAAGGGAGCTCCATGGAGAAGAGAGAAAACATTCAAAGACACCAAAAGGGAATAGGAAAAGGATACATGCAGAGAACTTCCAGTAGTCGGTTACAGCTCCATAAGATAGGCAAGAAATGATGCTAGAGAGAGAATCTGGGTCTTGATGATAAAAGCATTTACCTGCAATTCTAATATGTTAGATTGCATGTTGAAGGCCGTAGAAGAGTCACAGAAAGATCTGAATGAAGAATGAAGTATGAACAGATACATTTAGGCTTTAGTAACAGATTAAAAGAGAACAGGGAAACCAATCAGGAACTATTATCATAATTCAGGTGAGAAATGATGAGAGCTTGAACTAAACAGCAATCAACATGGAGGCATGTGATGTGGTCAGATGTGAGGGATATTAAAATTGAAATAATCATAGTGACTGATATAGTAAAGTGGAGGGAAGGGGGCACAATCAAGGATGACTTTCAAGCTGCTCGTGTGGGTAGCTGGTGAAGTAAAGGGTTATGAAGCAGGTGTAGTCTGAACAGGGGATGAAATGAAGCCAACAGGGGCAACAGGGGCTAAAGGGATTGGATAGTCAATGTATGTTGATACTTACTAAGATGCTACTTTTCAATTTATTACATTTTTCTCTAGAGAGAAAAACCATCATTTCAGAGGTCATTTTAGCTCTGTTATTATAGAAGGTCTACTGTGTATTTCCAGAAGTAAAGAAAAGGTCATGGTCAATGTTAAATATACTTACAATATATATTACAGTGAGTACCAAAATGGATTGGACCCATATGTTCAATCACATTAAAATATATGTCACAATCCATCTACTTTTAAAGTGTGTGTGTGTGTGTGTGTGTGTTAGAAACAATTTCCAGAACAAATGTCAAATATCCTCAAGATACTTCAGTTCAAATTACCAGTCCATGCCATTGAACTGTTTACTACTTGGACATTACTAAATGCAGATACATGTTGAAAATATGTTCTTAAAAACTTGTTAAAAATTCTCAAATTTCATATTTTTGATGATAAAATGTGAAAAAAGGGCTGTTTTATGGTGTTTCACCTCCAAAATGAACACATTTTCTTGAAGGGCTGAGCGCCAAAAAAAATTCTAAAGTAGTATACTGCTAGTATAGTATGAATGCCTGGATAACATAGCTAAATACATTGGGGTGAACTAAAAACTCCAAACTGGAAAGACTGTTTACAAGTATCTAGATACTTACAAAACAGTCTAGTTCTGAATAATACATTAAGATATATTTTATCCTGGATGAGCTATGTAGCCAGGTTTGCTTGGTTGGAATACATCATTGTAAAATTTCTGAGCCACAAATTTTCAGCATTTCTCAAAAAAATATTTAATAAAACTCACACAAGCCAACATCTAGTTTCAATAATAATGATTAATGTGAACCTAGAGTGGCTTTACCCTATTTATTTCTCAATCTGGCTCAACTTAGATTATGGTAACTTTTCTATACACTAAGGTCTTAAATGAAAATCTGATAGATATATGAGAGTGAGAGAGAGAAAAGAAGAAAAAGAAAGAGAAGGAGAGGAAGAGCAAGAGGGAGAAGAGAAGAGAGGAGGGGAGGAGATGAGAGGGGAGGGAGGAAAGAAGGAAGGAAGGGAGGAAGGAAGGAAGGGAGGGAGGGAGAGAAAGTAGGTAGTATGGAAAAAAACACTACTTCTTATGGACCCTACTGCTATGCAACAAAGCTGTCATCAAACTCCATCTCTTCTGGATATCTAGGTTCATCACTGATCTATTGTAAATGCCCTTAAATGTGCAAAGGCTGGTTTCAGTAGCATAGGGTAGATTTTGCATTTTTGTAACATAGCAGAGACACTATTTATGAAGGTGTTTTCCTCAATTATAAAACACTGTATAGGAAAAAATACAGTGAGTTTGAAATATTTTTATTTTAACTGATAAATTCAATGTCTTGACAATGATATCATTATATTAGAAGAATTACTTACTCAAGAAGATCTGGGTCTAGTCCTTCCGATATCATTTTGTTTCTTATTGCCATGACTGGAACACCCTAAGCAAAGGACACAATATAATAATTCAGTTATTAAAAATGCCTCCATCATAAAAACAGAAAAAGAGACCAATGGAACAGAATTGAAGAGCCCAGAAATAAGCCGAATATATATGGTCACCTAATATTTGACAAGGGAGCCAAGAATACTCAATAGAGAAAAGACAGGGTTTTTTCAATAAATGGTGCTGGGAAAATTGGATATTCACATGTAAAAGAATGAAATTATACTTTTATCTTTCACCACTCACAAAAATTAACTCAAAGTGAATTAAAGACTGAAATCATGAAACTCCTAGAAGAAAACACAGGAAAAAAGCTCCTTGACATGGATCTTGATAATGATTTTTATGGAAATCACACCTAAAGCACAAGCAACAAAATAAAGAGTAAACAAGTAGGGCTACATTAAACTAAAAGGCTTCTGCAGAGCAAAAGAAACCATCACAAAATAGAGAGATAACCAACAGGATGGAAAAAAATACATATACGCAGACCATATATCTGATAAGGGGTTAATATCCAAAATACACAAAGAACTCATACAAGTCAATAGCAAAGAAACAAATAATCCAATTTAAAAATTGGATTAGATATTTTCCCAAAGAAGATATACGAGTAGCCGGCAGTTACATGAAAAGATGCTCAACATCACTAGTCATTAGAGAAATGCAAATCAACACCACAATGAGGTTATCACCTTACACCTTTTAGAATGGACATCATCAAAAAGACGAGAGATAACAAATACTGGAGTGGATGCGGAGAAAAGGGAACTCTCATGTACTGCTGGTGAAACTGAAAATTGGTACAGCCACTATGGAAAACATATGGGGGTTCCTAAACAAATTTCAAAACCTAGAACTACCATATGACCCAGCAATTCCACTTCTGGGAAAGGAAACGAAAACACTAACTTGAGACGATAACAAGCACCCCATGTTCATAGCATTGTTTATAATTAGCTAAAAACGTGGAAACAACCTCAGTGCCCCTTGATAGGTGAAAGGATAACCAAGTTGTGAAATATATGTCCATATAGCTCTATCTACTTAGATATCTATATCTATATACTCGTAGATATATTATTCAGCCATAAAAAATGAGGAAATCCTACCATTAGCGACAATATGGATAGAGCTTTAAGGCATTATGCTAAGTGAAAGAAGTCAGACAGACAAAGACAAATACTGTATGATCTCACTTACGTGTGGATTCTAAAACAAAGCAAAACAAACTCATACAAAAAGAGACCAATTTGTGGTTATCAGAGGTAGAAGTGGGTGGGGGAGGGGGAATTGGAGGAACGTGGTCAAAGGTACAAACTTCCAGTTGTACGGAAGACACGTCAGTCCTGGGATGTAACGTACAACTTGATGACAACAGTCACACTGCTGTATGAGATACAGGCGAGTAGGTCCTAACCATTCTCACCACAAGAATTTTTTTTTTCTTTTTATTGCATCTACATGAGCTGACAGATGTTAACTAAACCTACTGTGGTAATAATTTCACAATATATGTAAATCAAACCATCACACTGCACACCTTAAACAGTGATATACATCAATTATTTCTTAATAAAACTGGACAAATAAAGAAATAGAAGCTAAAAAAAAAATAAAGCCTCCTATATATGTCTCCACATATCACCTAAAACAGGTGGCTCAGTTTAGATGGTTCATTTACAATAACTCTTATTTTGCTTTTATATTAGAATGTGCATAGCACTCAAATAATCTAATGAGGTACACATTTTAACTGACTTAATGGAGCAGTGTTATCCAATACCATATAAGCCCAAATTAAATATTTGAGCTTTTCCATTACTAATTCTGCTGTATAGAAGCCAGGTATTATATTCTCTCTCTTATGTCACCAAAAGGAAGAAAACATTGATAATTCAAATGATTAAAGCCTTAGCTGGACAGGCACAATGAATACTTAACAGCATGAATACATTTCTTTTCAAATAAAGGTTTCAGAGCTTTTTACTCTTAAGTATAACTATGTTAATGCTCTTTTTACAAGCAATGTCCAATTCCATTTGGACATATTATGCACAAAGATCAAATAAAATTCAAGAGCTCTCCTGGGACTCTGATTATACGCCTTCCCCACACGGATACCAACACTAGGCAATGATAATTCCAGAAGTGTATAAGTTGCAAAAACATTGAGAGTACGTGAATTTCAAAGTTCAGGATAAGAACATCAAAACAGTAAGAAAAGGCTATGTCAGAAATAAATACAACTTTACTGGAAAAGGGAACTGATTTGATGGATAAATAAACATTTATTGAAAGCTCATTTATAAAGCTCTAAGGAGATGCAATCAAGTCTCTTTGTCAACTCCTCTTCACATCATCCCAAAAGATGAGGATGTATTAATCTGATGTGTTCAACTTGAGGACTTTGATTATATCACCTTCAAAAGTTAAGTGGGGTCACTGCGCTTTAAAACTGAACGCACGGCTGGGATTCTCTCCCTCCCACCTCTTCATCCCACGAGGTAGGCGGGAGGGCTAAGCGGAGCCAGGGCCCACGTGGAAAGAAACTCAGTCACCTCGCTCTTGCTGCTGTGTACCTTCCCTTTGGTCCTCCTCCCATGTTACTAGCCAGCTGTGACATTCAGTGTTGAACTTTACAAGTGAGCTTTCAATAAATGTTTATTTATCCATCAAATCAGTTCCCTTTTCAAGTAAATTTCTATTTATTTCTGAGTAAATAGAGAAAGAGGCCCCGTAGGAGCTCTGATCCAATTTCTCATAGCCCTCCCCTGAAGTTTCTGGGCACCGGTTCAGCCAAGGTTCCCTGCTTTCTTTTGCAGTTGTCCCTTGAGGTCTCGCAGGATCTCAGAGGATCTTACAGTTTTCTGGTCTCAGGGATCTTACAGGGTGGTTAGAAGTAAATGTGGTTAGTTGTAGAATTCTGGTATCACAATTCCACACCTCAATGTTTAATATCACTATGGCAGCATGGTGCTTTATGCTGAGAAAATCAAAATATCATCAGCCTCTGCCCTCAGGGAGTACAGTCTGATAGATATGCTAAACAGATGACCACAGTACAAGCATGACATTGATAACAGAGGCCTGCATAATGGGCAATGTTAGAACCAAGGAAAGGCAGGCAGAGTTGACGCGCAGAAAGGATTTGCTGAGGTGAGTCTTGAATATGGGATTAGAGTTTATTTAAAATAAAAAACACAAATACACAGAAATATATACAAATCTTTAAATAATCTATCATACGTATGCTTGTCTCAAACCTATTTTTTAAGAACAAACGCATACTTGTCCAGATATTTCCCTCCTTCAAAATGCTGATTTTATTTTACATTTTACCCAATAAAATCTGTGTTTAAGTCCAGGCAAGCATATGCTAAATATGAGTCAAATGGATTCTAAATTCAATATGAAGAGTCTTCAAAGTTATTGACCATATATCTCTCATGGTTACAGATCTTGCCAAATTAAGTTCAGGTCTTGATTAACTATAATCCTCATTTTTAAAACCAGAAAATATATTACAAGTTTAATTTTTTACTTTTTTTAAAATGTCCAGTAAAAATGCCTTCTACAACCATAATCTTTTATTTTGCTATGGAGGAGGAAAAAGTCCAAGTTCTCTCTCCACAGCTTGCTAGGGGAAAGGAAGTTGGGAAAGCGAAGGCTTTCTTTCCCATTTGCAAGTTTCCAGGTAGACACTCGCTCCTGAGAGGTAGCAAAGGCATGGCTGTCACAGGCCCATTCATACATTTCTCTTCATAACTGGGATGTTGTATTTTATACATTAGTAAAATTTAATCTATTAAGACTTGGATAACAATGGATGCATAAATGCATCCTAAATATTAAATGGATGAAAATAAAGAGCACCATCACAAAATTTTCTTCAAAACCATACTGCTGAAAGTAATACTGTCCCATGGGGCAGGTACTCTGAAAAATAAAATATGGTAGGTTTGGAAGACAAAGACAGTAGAAGGTAAAACTCTGGGCCTTTTGTTAGCTTATAAAGTTTAAGGATAAATGAAAGCCAAAAAAAAAAAAAAAAAAGCAGTTACTTGCTTAGGGGCACTGGAATGCTAACAGACTCTCACATTTGGGATAAAGTTAAGCATAAGATTAAAACCTGCACCACTTTTAAAATATACTACCCGGAACTTGAGATTTGAGAGGAAGATTTTTAAATAAAATGTACTTAATGCTCACATAATAATAAATTTTCTTTAATAGTAGAGGAGAAAGTTGACCACTTGAACAACAAGGTTGGGAATTTTACTTGATAATTAAATGCCATTCACTATTTAGTATAACAGGGAAAGTTAGAAGTTTGAAACATTTCATAAAAAACACTGAAGTGCTAAGGAGAAAAGGGGAAAAGTGCAGAGTTAATGTCTTACTTCTTTAAAAAGACCTCTCAGTTTCTGTTAACTATGGCTTGATGGTATAAGGTCTTTCTACAAACTTGACTGTGTAACTTATTTACTATACTTTAGCATAATCCACAGGATATCATTGGAAAGGTTATACAAACAAGTTACAAAACGGAGAAAACAGAAGGGAAAAGAAATGAGACTGAAAAAAAAAACACATTTTCTAAAATACAGCAAAGAAAGTGTGTGGAGGGTGGGAGTGAGGGAAGGTGGTAAAAGGGAAGGGAGGAATAGGAACAGGGAAGTTGGTGGAATTAAATAAGCTCCCTATTTTAACATTAGTTTCATGGACTTGGTTATAGTATAAGAACAATAGAAGTCTAAATCTACAAGCTCTGTATTTTACTCTTAGTTTCTCAAGGCTGATTCTAGCAAAAGAATACAGATATTACCAAAATTTAGTGAGTTTTTAGTCATTTCTGTTTCTGAATATAGATAAAGATACATAAAATTTATCATATCTTCCCCTATTAGAGACTTTACTATTATCATTACCTTAATAAAAATCTCATAAATGTTGATATAAAAATAATTCGGCCTGTGTTACAAAGAATGCATT